ACCAGTTATTTTACTCAGGTGACCAGGCTCTTAGAAATATTGATCATTTTATTAGTGGACACATTTTGTTTCGGACGAGGAGGACATATTTGCTAAATAAAAGCGAAAAAACGCCATTTCGCAAAATAGTAATTCTGTCAAAATTACTACTTTGCGAAACGAGTTCTACTATGGTTAATAAAATGAGAGGTGAGCAGGCTCTTAGAAACATTGATCATTTTATTAGTGAAAACATTTTGTTTCGGACGAAGAGGACATATTTGCTAAATAAAGGCGAAAAAACACCATTTCGCAAAATTTCGTTTCGTTTCGTTTCGTTTCGCAAAATAGTACAATTTCGTTTCGTTTCGTTTCGTTTCGCAAAATAGTATAAGCCGAATTCTGGCTATTATTCACTCCCTCATTCACTCACTCACTAAAGCGCTCATCTCGACAACATTTGTGGCTTCGCCTCCACTAAGAGGCAGTAGCCACAAAAAACTTGAGACTCTTTGTTATTATTTCTCTGCATTACATGGCGAGAATTGGCGCAAGAAAATATAATTGCAGCTGGTACATGATATAGTCACTTGAAAACATCCTGACTTGACATTGTTTTATGACAATCGAATTGACGCAAGCGGTTGCTAAGAATATATATTTTTTTCAAAACAAACTTTTGACATCTTTTATCGGATATTCCACCAACTTTGTTCAAAAACCAAAACAGGAAATTTCAAATGAGGAAATTGTTTTCGTTGAAGACAACCCTCTTCGTTTCAGTACCACTTAAACCCTTTAGATGTATGGCTTGACTATGGATATATCCTCCTTGCTTTGGAGCGATCTTCTCAAAATTAAACCGGAATAAATTTTGTCCAGGGAAAAAGTAATCAAGCTCGAAAAAAAGGAAAGTGTTCGGTCCAGAAGGAAAGGATGCGGAAAATATAAATTTAGAACGGCGACGTGATCTACTTTGATTTCCATGGGTTTCTTAATTTAAAATTACGTTCTCTCCGCGCTGGATTAACACCTTGCTCGCTAAAATATCTTAAATTACTTGCTAATGATGCTTCTTCAAGCGTTGGTTTGCGTGGTTTTTCCTGTTTTTTGATTAATATTTTTCATTTTTTAATATTATTTTTCGTTTTGAGGATTTCATTGAATTTCGTAGTATGGGCCTTTTTTTAGAACATTCGATATTAAAGAATCGGTATATCTATTTTATTATTTATTTCCCTCATTTACTTTAGTTATCAGAGTGTATGTTTTTTTTTTTTTTGTATCGTTCTCGACATCTGCCGGGTTTTAATTTTAAGAAGACCGGCGGGGCAGTATGACGCCTTAAGGCCTCACTAGAAAATTATTAAAGGCATACAAGAAACCCATTTCCGAAAGAAACGGAAATTAAACGTTCTTTTAGGTTAATACAGATTAGGCAAATTTTTTTCATTAGTACTGTCGTTTTCGCTGAGTTCTTGACATAGAAAATGCTCATTCTAAAACTTCTTTTTTTGTAATTCGATTCGTGACGCAAGGAATAATTTTGTTTACGATTATGCTCTAACCTAGAACAATGCGGTAACTTAGAACAACTTTTGATAAGAACTCATTGATTTGATTGAGTGTCACCTTTTCAGCTTTGGGTTGATAGAAAACTAAAACTCTTGCAATGCTGCCAGAGAGATAATATTTTGCATGACAATGCAAAGATGTTAATGGGTTTAAAATTTGAAAACCTCTAACCTTCGTGTACGTGACATCAAACCTGGTTTCCAGGGTTACATTTATTAATAATCGAGCCGGGAACAGTTTACTTTTGTTATTCATAATTCCGTATGAGGACTTTGTTATCCAATGAAAAAAGAAAACTAAAAAGAAAAAAAAATGCAATTATGTTTAGAAACAGTTAATGCGAAGAGCTGTCAAGAAGGACGGAGTCTTCAAATATCACACAAACTTTTAAAACGTTCAAGTTCGGTCATCTCGACTAATGTTGTCTTAAAACTGATTTTGATAACAGGAGAGAGCGCTCTCACCAAAATAGCCGCAGGCGAAATGGAAAGGTGGCTAAGTTTCTTCGGTTGGCTCTTTTCAGTTTCCACAGCCGTGGGAAATGGCTTTGTGATCTTTCTCGTCGCCAAGAAACCCCAACTTCATTCCTCAGCCAATTGGTTGGTCGTTTCCCTGGCAGTGGCCGATTTTGTGATCGGGGTTTTCGCTTATCCACTGGCGTATTTCTGCACCAGCTTGGGGTGCAACTTCAAATTATACACAGCATTTTTCTGGCTCTTTATTCACTCTTCGGTAACGAATCTATGCGCACTGACTTGGGATCGTTACTCCGCTATTGTTCACCCCTTCAGCTACAACACTTCTGTGACTGAAAGACGTACAAAGACTGTTATCTTGTCTGCTTGGTTTATCCCCTTGGGGATTTCTCTGACTCTTTTAGTGGGTTTATACGTTACGAAGTCCAGCACCGCGCTAATAATTCTTCGCTTGACAGGTGTTTCGGCGTTTGATCTAATCTCATGTGCGTTGCTCATGTATGCAGTCGCTCGTATACTCAATGTCGCACGTATGCAATCTCGGCAGGAATCCTCTATCAAAATACAAGTACAGTGTACCCAAACATCTTGTGAAGAAACAAGTTTTCGCAAACATCAGAAGCAGAACAAAGCGCACTTTGTGATTGCCATCGTCATACTATTCTTGCTTTGCCACTTAGCTGCAAATGGTATGATTTTGTGGGTTATGTTATCTAGTCGTGTTTCATATGAGGCTGCGCAGGGAGTCACTCTCCTGCTTGTTATCAACTCCGCGGTGAATCCGTTTGTTTACGCGTTTTTAAAGAGCGACATCAAGCTCGAGATAACAAAGCTATTCACTAAAAATAACTTTCGGTCAGCACGATCCCTGTCCAGTTCTACCAGGACCTCTAGTTCACCTGACCAAGACACGTAATGAATAAATGTAGTTAATTTTCTTCATTGCCTGCTAAAAACAAAAATCATCATTCAGTGCACTCCCCTGGTTTATCATATACTAAATCACAACATCTGATGTCTAGAAATAAAACAAAATGTTAATCATATACCGCTGTAAGTGGTGTGGCAACTCGGAAAATAAAAACAAAACAACTGGTATTGATAACATATCAGGCTATTTAGAAAAGTCGGTCAAATATTATTGTGACTTGTCCGACCTTTCAAAAACACGCATTACTGAGAAAATTTAACTTGAATTATAATTCCTATGTGCTCATGTACTACTGAGAAACGAACGATGACAGCGTTTTCCCTTTCCATGTAAACGTTTATTCCACGTTGCTTTTTTGACGCTAGAGCGTTCAGGCACGTTTACACCACTCGAAGCAAGTATCACTGTGAGCGGCATTCTGACAAAACGTACATTACCTTAATTCACTTTTAAGGTTCGCGTCCTTATTAGGATATCGGATTCAATTCTTTCCCTTTATATTGTCTGACAACTTTACAGAGGTTAAAGACGATCACAAGCACGATTCTAGAGCCGTCCTTAAAAACTTCACTTTTCTTGAAATAGGTTTTCAAAATCTGTTCCTGATCCATTATCATCATCACGACATCCTACATCATATTTCCTTATGACGCGTTCGAATCAAATTGCGGGGAATTCGATTTACCTTTTTCAGACCTCAGGTTTTATTACCGGTTTGCTACAGCTTGGACAAATGAAATAATCTAACATATTACTTAGTTAACATATTACTTAGTTAAATTTATTTAATGAGCCTTTGTGACGTCTTCTATCCGCTAAAAGTAAAAATGATTGTCACTACGTGGCAAGTTTTCTTGTATGGGTTGGAAATTGTGAATCGTTTTGGTTCAAAAGAAGACTTAGAAGAATGCACAGTATAGTATCTTTTGTTGTAGTTGTCTTGCTTGTCGAACAACACCAGAACAACATATTATGCGCGTACTAGAAATGAACAATGACTTAGATTCCTGTCTGGCCACTGTTTGTTTGTCAGCGTAAATGATCTTTTTGGTATTTTTACGCACAACACCCGGGACCAAAAGCGAGATCAGTCGGATAGAACACTTTAAGATTGTAGATCAATGCAATAACTCTGTTTTATTACACGACTCGCGCAGTCAGAGAACCAATAACTAAAATCAACCAATCAAAATGCTTTATTGCTGGTCAATATTCTCACAGTATTGGACCGGGAACTGTCCCGAATGGTCCCAAATGATACCGCACTTGTGTCCCTTTGAACTTCAGTCGTATAATAAATCGCTTATTAACCAAGTTTGCTCGCGATCGTACTGGAAGAATATCGGCCCTCGGTCTTTTTTGTACGGACCTCGTTGCGCTCTGTCCGTACTGTAAAGACCTCGGGTTGATATTCTCCCAGTACGGCCCTTGCGCTTGGATATATACGTTTCAATATAAACCTTGTTTAGAAGAATCCATCAGTACAAGATATATATTTAAAGGTATATATTCAAGGTATTTATCATAGACGCGAAAAGGTGTCGAGTATAACTGACGATCTCTCAATTTTAACTGTAGACGGCTGGTCCTAATGGTAGCTGCTTTGATAGCTCCCAACATGTGGTTAATAATTATTTAAGGTAGAGTATTAATTTGTAATAGTTCTGAGATTTTTACACTTATTGGAAATATTGCATTTGTTTAATCTTCTGCAATGGTTCCGGCTGGAAAAGCGTGCGGACCTTATGGTCATGGCGCCCTGGCTAGACATCCTATAAGTGTGTAAATGGGTGGAGGCGAATTTAAAACGGGGAGTAACCATGTGA